ACAGCACCTACAGGTCAAAGGGTGCCAAGGCCACCAGCAGGCGGGAGCAGTGCATGGCACAGATTCTTGCTCACAGTCCTCAAAAGAAATCAATTCTGCTGATAGCTATTGTTTTATTTATTCTTTTTTCTCTTCACATTTGACTTGTCTCTGTACACAAATTATTTCTAGCAAATCATTTTATAAAGTTCACAAACCTGTATCTTTTCCCTGATTGTATAATTTTCTGTTGGGAAATTCTCCCTTCCACCAAACCACACATATCCATTTCCCATCATCCTTTATTCAACAAGGATTCTATTATCTACACTTTTTCAACTCAATGTGGTTTCTGAAGGAGCATCAATATCACCTAGAGTGTATTAAAAAGTAGATCTATCCCAGACTTTCTAACTCAAAATATACATTTAAGTAGAATCACAGAACCATCAGCATGCATATTAGTTTAAGATGTACCGCTATTGTTGTGAGGATTAAGTAGAAATACGCACAAAATTTCTGACAGAGTAGGAATTCAATTACCAATATAATCTCTTCTCCCCATCCATATCTTTGCTAATCTTGGGTTTTGTTTTTTTTTTTAAGATTTATTTACTTATGCATACAGAAATGGGGTACAGGCAAGAGGTGCAGGGTCAGTGAGAGGGTTTCACCATAGCCAGAATGAGGAGCAGAATAGGTAGACTGACAAAGTACACTGCTGAGGGGAGCATTGGGTGAGACAGGAGAGGTCTGCTGAGCCCAGTGGGTCAGCTCTGGGGCGGGGATTGAATTCACACCTAAGCGGCCACTTGCAATGCTGTGCTATAACCTGCTGTACCACCAGGGCAGGCCCTATCTTGGGTCTTTTTCCTAGGTCTCACCTCTGAAATTATTGAAATCTTTTTCATTCTTTAAATATCAAGTTAAATGTTACTTCCTGTGTGAAGTATTCTACAACTCTTATCAACTGAGAAGAGCACTTTTTATTTTCACTTCTCTTTCTACTTTCTGCATTTTACACAACAGACCAATGTTTTACAATCTCATCTACTGAGCGATCAAATCGCTTAAAATATAAATACTCTAAGATCAAATATTCACATTATGATTGCTGCCTAATAGACTGTGTATTTGTGGGTAGAGTATTTGAATAACTTAGCATATGAGTAAATCAGTTTATCACATACACAGTTCTTTTTACAAAAGTACAATATAATTATTGTTTTTTAAATTATGCATCCCTTTACTCAAGTAGCTGCTGAATTATGTAAAAATATAGTTTATGCACCAAACTATAACCATGAATCATAAAGCGCACATTAAAAGAATATATCAATGAAATTGAAACAAGAAATTATAAAAAAGCACAATGAAGGTATAAAGCTAGTGAACTGGTAGAAATTTTGTTTTCTTCCACTACATTAGCAAGTTCTAACTGATTTTGAAACGACCTTTTCCAACTTAAATTATTTACTTATTTTAATTTCATTTTTTCAATGTCAATAAAACAAAATTCTCTATTTTAGTTCCATTACTGTATAAATCAGCCTTAAATAAGTTATGTGCTAGAATCTTCAAATTATCCCATGTTAGAGCAAAATATGCTCTATCAATGCATTGTTGGGTCTACAAGTTAGTACTTTCACTATAGGACTATATTTGTGGAAATTAGCATTATAAAGCCGGGGTCTACTATACTGGCAGACATTATTTTCCCTCACTATGCCAAGCTTTTCATGGGAAAGGATAAGGCCTGGTTAGGCCTTGTTACCAAAACTTAATCAATGTCCTATCTTTAGAAAATTCAGCTATTTGTTGACTAAGAATAGAAATAAAAGCAGCAAATATGCCTTGAGGGTCCTGGGCATTAACCAAGAGCTGCACATGTGTAGAAAATGAAAGTGAATGAAAAAGTTGCAAGTGTTAAATGTAAGGGAGAAACAGTAAAATGAAATTCTGACATAGTTTTTCCATCTTCAAAATGAGTAAGAGATCCATGAAACCTCTTCATAAAACTCAGAATCAAAGTTGATTCCCTAAGATTTTTTTCCAGTTAGGACCTACAGCCAATCTCATCCCTTGAAACTTCAGTATCCTTATCTGTCTCTATTAGTGAAGATTCAAGTTTAGATTGCATAATTCAAAATTTCACAGCTGGAATTATACACTAGAAATCATCTCAACCCTATCATTGATACATCTGGAAACTGTAATCCACAGATGCAAAATCATGTGTCCACAATTATTCAGTAAATAGTAGCAAAAATAAATTACAGTATCCAATCTCAATACTCTTAGTCACTGCACTTAAATAAGGATTTTAGTACATGTCAAAAGGAATATATGATGTTTATGTTGTAAGTGTGCTATGTATTTTTGCCAAATACATCCCTATATCACCATAACATTCAAAATCTCATCCCTATAATATTTAAGTTTGACTATATCCATAAATAATAATTCTATTCATATTTGTATAATGTTTACCCTGAATTGTTTTTTGATCTCTATCCTTTTTTCTGCAGCATCACTTGAATTTTGCATATAATAAGATTTTCTGACCTAATCTCCCAAGAGTTTAAAACCATCTGACTCACTTTTCATATCTACATTAACCACATAGTAACACTAAATCTAAGATAATCCTGTAGAAAATCAGTATGCCTCTGTACAAATGTAAGAACTAAGTCATATTTCCAAAACTTATAAATTGAGTAATACAGACCCTACCAAACATGGATTATGAGTTTCTATGAACTCAAATAAAAAGGTATTAAAATTACAAATTGTATTTAAGTTAAAATTTTACCCATAGTCTAAGTTAAAATCTTTACCCATCAAAAAGTATGTCCTAGTTGTGAAAACCCTCTGTAACATTTAATGAAAGGGAAATGAAAAGCAAAGGTATTTAAAGACATGGAGATGGTTCCACAGATTTATAAAATTAATCTTACTTTAGGCCACATGTAAGGAATGAGGTCTCTGTTAAAGCAAAGGAAACAAAGGCTTTCACAAACCACGTAACATTTTTTGACAGTTAATTATATAAGATGATGACAAACCATACATGTAAAGCATAATGAATTGAAACAAAAACAACAAAATGAGGTGCTTCAAATATATTAATCTCACTGATGTAATTTTTTTTTAAAAAGATTTATTTACTTATGCATACAGAGCTGGGGTACAGGCCAGAGGCTCAGGGGCAGTGAGAGGACTAACCAGAGATAGAGTGGGGAGCAGAACAGGCAGATTGATGAAGTACACAGCTGAGGGGAGCAGCGGGCAAGACAGGAAAGGTCTGCTGCGCCATGTGGATCACCTCCGGGGGCAGGCGATCAAACTTGACGGAAGCAACTGCAGCCAGTTTGCAGTGCTGCACTTTAACCCACTGCACCACCAGGGAGGGTCCACTGATGTAATTTTTTTTTTTAAAGATTTATTTATTTATTCATACAGAATTGGGGTACAGGCCAGAGATGTGGAGGTTGAGAGGATTCACCAGGGACAGAGTGGGGAACAGAACAGGCAGATTGACGAAGCACACTGCTGAGGGGAGCAGCGGGCGGGTCAGGAGAGGTCTGCCACGTCATGTGGTCTCCTCCGGGGCAGGCGGGGATCGAACTCATGCAGAAGTGGCTTTAGCTTCTTAGTGCAGTGCTTTAACCTGCTGTGCCACCAGGGAGGGCCACCACTGATGTAATTTTTAAACAGAACAGAGCATACTCATTTGTCTGAAACAAATTTGAACTTTATCTTTGATCAAAATGAAATATGACCAATTCACACTTCTTTAATTAACATAATTTTATGGTAAAATAGAGATCACTTCATCCACTGAATAAAGATTATTAAAGATATTTAACTAAAGCTCTTTAAAAATGGTATATGGCGGGCTCTCCCTGGTGGCGCAACAGGTTAAAGTGCAGCACTACAAAGCTAGCCACAACTGTTTCAACACAAGTTCAATCTCCCGCCAGGGAGGTGACCCCACATGGCCCGTCTTGCCCACTACTCCCCTCAGCAGTATTTTTCAGTCAATCTAACTGTTCTGCTCCCCACTCTGTCTCTGGTGAATCCTCTCAGTGCCCTACACCTCTCGCCTGTACAGCAATTCTGTATGCATAAATATAAAAAAAAGGTGTCTGGCACAGGTTGTAGGTAGGTGGATAAGAAACAAAATAAAGCCACCCTTAATTTTCATACATTCAAAATACACTTATATCTATTTTAAGAGAGTGCATGGCTCTCACGTTAAAAAGCTGTTTTAGGTGATATTAGGATCTACGGGGGGGAAGAAGAGGGTATTAAAAAAGAGAACAGGCCCTCCCTAGTGGCGCAGCTGGTTAAAGCACAGCACTCAGAAGCTAAAGCCACTTCCGCATGAGTTCGATCCCCGCCTGCCCCAGAAGTGACCATACGGCGCGGCAGACCTCTCCTGGCCAGCCCACTGCTCCCCTCAGCAGTGTACTTCATCGATCTGCCTGTTCTGCTCCCCATTCTGTCTCTGGTGAAGCCTCTCGCCGCCCCTGAGCCTCTGGCCTGTACCCCAATTCTGTATGCACAAATAAATAAATCTTTAAAAAATAATAATAATAATAAATAAATAAAGAGAACAGAACACAGGATACAGGAAAAGCAGCAGGTGGACCTAGGGCTCAGCTCTGCTAGCCCATGAGTTGTACCTTCCACCTCCTGATTCTTTTCTCTGAAAACAAATGTGATTTCTTCAGTCCTCTTGACTTTATACTGATTTTCCTGTTCCAATAGAGAAATAGAATAAGCCAGTATTTTTAAGTTGAGATATTGAGTCCAGTTGTTAAGACCCTGAAATTTCAAATTGCAGCCTCAATACTCTATAAGGACTCTTCCCAAAATGCTGAGAATCAAGATATAAACAACATAAACAATGGACTGGTTACATATGTGTTAAATACTACAGAATGCATAATTTAGAAAATAGCACTATAAACATTATTAATTAGAAAAAGCAATGCTATAAATGGCATGCACAGTACCTTTTGATATACAATGGAGCACACAAGATCCTTGACAGCAGATAAAGATAGTTCCTGGGCTTCAATGGTCACACTTTCCCGTGTAAGGCCAATTTGTAGCAGAAATGAAATTGTATGCACTGAGCCTCTGGAGTTGGTGAGAGACTGTGCACTGAAGCTTCCATTAGAGAGTCGAGCAGAGAGTCCTGTCTTGGGACTTGAACACGGAGAAGGAGTTGGAAGCACAGCAGGAAGAGATGCAGGTAATACAGACTTCTGGGCTGATGGAGGGGAATTGTTTGCAGACATCTGCCTTCCTTTAATCTTTTAAAATAGTTGTTAATTCTTGTTCAATGGTTATAAGAGGCTTTTAAAATCACAATGGTAAAAAAATGACTGTACTTTTGGATTTAGTTGAAAGCTTCTTAATTTCCTCTTTTAAGTCACTCATGCCGATTACTGCAAGTTCTATAACTGTGAGTTGAATAAACAAAAGGCCCCACTTCCCTTAATAACAGTCCCATTAAAAGGAGCCTTGTCTTCAAGACCACAACCAGGGTTTTGGAAAGGATTTAACATTACTGAGTATCTTCATCAGAAAAGAGTAAACACTGCTAATTCACTAAACATCTTCATCTATTTTAAGTCTATCCTTGTCTCTCTTTTTTAATTTCAGAAAATACATATTGGGTAAAAGTTGTTTTTCTGTCAAGATGAAATCCTCCTGGTTAAAAAAAAAAGTGTTCAGGATTAGCCTATTCAGTATTTAACCTTTACTTCAGTGATTTATGGGACACTTTCTCAAATGTCCACATGCTAAATGCCCTCAATCACCCACATTTTCATTTGAGGGGTAATTTTTTTTCTATGATGAAGTACAAAGCTTTTAAAAAATAGATATATTTCATCTGATGAAGTGATCCATTAAAAAAGTTGATACTTTCTGAAATGGTGAGACCGCCTAGAAAGAATAAAAAAAAAACTTTTAGTATTTTATACCCACTTGACATTATTTTAAAAATGCAAAAATCCCTATTATTTTTAAAACAATATTTTTTGGCTATACATTAATAATTCACCAATAAATCCCAAAGGTAATCATTTGTTGGATCTATTTATCAAAGCCATAATTTTCACTGTAGGCATATTTGCAAGAACTTCCTACTCAAAAAAAAAAAACACAAAAAACTAACATTCCTCACTAATACCTGAAACTTGAAGATCAAACGCTTTTATTTCATAATTATATAACTGAGAGAACAGAAAGGACAAAAAAGACTGACATTGACATGGAAAAGACAATTTAAGAATATTCTTTTTTATATTAAAAGTCTAATTCTGTGAAAGAATGATTCCTGATTTGCTTTGACAGATTACTTGCAGAAGGCTACGGAAGCAGGAAGGAATATACTAGTCACTTAGATGGCCAACAAAGAAACGTGAAAGACACACGGCAAGGACATGGGAAAAATATAAAGTATTTCTAAAAGTAAAAAAGACGACACATGACTAAATATGTATCAGTTTTTATGAAATGACAGTTCAAAAAATAAGGGGAAAAAGTATGAGTTCCTCCATGTTTAAGTGAAATGGCTCACAAGGGATGAATGAGTCTAAACTCCACCTATATACCTGTGAACAGTTCTAATGAAGCAAGCAGGGTGGGGGCAAAATGACTACCAGAGAGTAGTTAATGTGACTAAATCAGGATGAATGTAAGACAACAATAAAAACACAGAGTCAGGAATGACAAAGTTCAAGAAAAGCCAAAGCTTCGGGGAAAAAATTGCTTTAAGATAACAATTTTATAGCTACATTTAAATAACTTTAAATCATCCCACTTTACATTATATGCCATTTAACATCTCATGATAGCTCTCTGAAAGATGAAGGATCAAATGATCATTTGTGCAGATGAGAAAAGTGAAGCACAAACGGATGAAATGACTTTCACCATATTACACAGCTATAAAGAAGGTGGAGGGGATTATGACCCAGGTTTCATATTTTCTTACCAAATGCTGTCCCACAGTAACATACTCTGTCTCAAATAGAACAAGGAACTGAGAGAATCACTGCTCAGAGAGGACTCTGTTCAGGTTGAGAGATCACATTAAAAAGGCGGAATTGCTCAACTTGTATCTTTCTTACCTTCTCTGTTTTTAAACTAAAGTTGTACAAAAGCACTGAAACCTGAAGCCTGAGTCTTATATGAATAAGAGAGACTAAACAACTGTGAGTGTAAGTCTTCAGGTCCTGATGCAATCCGTCCCATATTACAAGAGCAATTAGGAAGTGTAATCACAAAGCAGTATTATACCTTGGGCTCAGAAAATAATCATGACCTGGAGATAGGTCAGAGTTGCTCTAAGTTTTGTGGGCTTAGAGGAAAACGGAAGCAGATTTCAGAAATTAAGAGATACATACACCTAATCCTTGGTCAAATCTGAAAGCAGATAATGAAATCAAAGGGTTTTTGAATACACCTATAAAAGAATATAATGGTAACATGGATTAAAACAAGTAATGTTAAATCAACTGTATTTACATCTTGAACTTTTTAGCTGGAGGAAATAATTATAATAGCTCACAGTAACTGAGTTCTAAAATAAGCTTGGCATAAGTGGTACCTCATTCATCCTCACAACACATTTTTAGCAGTCAAGAGATTTAAGTTCTTGCCCAAGATCTACACAATTAACAGTTAGAGGAAAAATAGTGTATTTTTGTCAAAACAGTACTCATAGTAGTTTTCCATGTTATTTTTGTAAATATGTTGCTTAAGCATGAGCTTGATGTTAGCACAGCTGGGTAAATTTGTTGCTCACCAAGTTAGATGAGAAAAGTCTTTAGGTGAGTGTTATGGTACTCTACTTTTGGCCCTATATTGCTCTTGGTTATTTTTAAGATACTATAGACATATAAAATCCTTAAATTGTACAAATCTGGGAGAAATAAAGTTAAACATAGTAAGAATGAATTTACCATTTAATTTATAATGCTAGATGTGCAAATAGCAATGGAGAAATGTTGATTTATAAACTGTTCACAAGAATAGGAATTATCAATCCAAGTTTAATAGGAACTGCTAATCTAGTATAAGATTAAAAAGAGCTAATGCTAACCTAACCCTCAGCACAATGAGCGCGCATCAAAACCAATGTGTGAACTTGTTGCTAGTCAGCTTTTGTTACTATTATATTCATTTCTATGTCCCATATATATTTTTAAAGATTTATTTATTTATTTGTACATACAGAACCGGAGTATAGGCCAAAGGGTCAGGGTGGCGAAAGGCTTCACCAGAGACAGAGTGGGGAGCAGAACAGGCAGATCACTGAAGTACACTGCTGAGGGGAGCAGTGGGCGGGTCAGGAGAGGTCTGCCACGCCATGTGGGTCACCTCCGGGACAGGCGGGAATCGAACTCATGCGGAAGTGGCTTTAGCTTCTCAGTGCTGTGCTTTAACCCGCTGCGCCACCAGGGAGGGCCCTCTATGTCCCATATTTTTTAAAAAAGACTTATGTTTTCATGCATACAGAACTAAGGTATAGCCAGAAGGATCCACCAGAGACAGAGTGGGGAACAGAACAGACGATCAACGAAGTACACTGCTGAGGGGAGCAGAGGGCGGGTCAGGTACGTCTGGCACACCACGCAGGTCACCTCCCAGTCTGGGGATCAAACTCATGCTGAAGTGGCTTTAGCTTCTTACTGCTGTGCTCTAACCCCCTATGACCCATATTTTTAAGAGCATTTTTTTAAAGAAAGGAGTACTTAATAAAACCAAACAGAATGACCTTCAAATACCTAAAAAAGTGTTTGAGAATATTTTTATTCAGCATCACTGCAGATAATAAAAGAGAAGATAATAGCACTAATCACATCACAGACTGTTGGGAGAACTGAGCTACCACACACAAAGTACCTAGTTCTTGTAAGTGCTTGATACATTTTAGCAATTTTCATACTGTTAGATAAAATAATTAACAATTAGGTTCCTTCTTTAACATGCTAACCACTGCAACTGAAGTATGGTAACTCCATTAAATCCTAGCAACAACCCTAGAGATTTATTTAACTATTCTAAATTAAAGGAGCCAGCCTATGGAAGTAGTTGCTTGTCCAGGAATACAAGGCCAGTAAATAATAGAAATGAGTTGAAACTTGTTCCCCTAAGTCCAAAACCCATCTTCCTGCTACTATTTCATTCCTCTTCTAACAACCCAGTAAAGGAACAGGTTGTTCTGTGAGATAATGAGCTCCTTAACATACCTCAATCTGGTAGTTTCAGACTAACACATAAAAACAATAAATGAATAATTTTATATGCAGGTTAAATATTTCAAAATACAAGATTCTGTTGTATTCAGTAATTTTTGATGGCTGCCTCCCTATTAAGTTTCTATTTTACTATATCTGTTAAACCAGCCAAATAGGAAATGTCCAATAGTATAATCAGCCAATTAATCAAAACAGTGCTATTAATAAAGTATATAAAGGTTATGCCTTTACATAAGTATTTTTTAAAGTTTCAGCATGAATACAAATATAAGAAACTAAGTGAGCTGTCATTCGCCTGCCCACTCATCCCATCTGTTTTTCTCCTCGTTTTATGCTCTATAAGATGCAACAAGATGTAATGTGCAAAATATTACTATAAAAAACCAGTATATTTGTCTTTATGCTTCAATTATAAAAGTGAAATACTATATTTTACTAATTTATAAACTCCATCAGTTAAATGTTTGTTTATAACAGTTAACAGTTGGCAAGCCTTTATAGTCTGTTTATTTGAAACATGATAAATATTCCTGAGTTCTGTCACATATCTCATTCAGATGAACTTACACAATCTGTCACCACTGTTGAATGCAATCAAAGAGATATTAAAGGTATCTTGAGCCCAACCTGCCCTATTTAACAACTGAGCTAAAACAAAGCCAATGGAGGTTAAGTGACTTAATTGAGGGTTATTTCATGCTAATATTCCAACTTTCTCTCCTGCTCCCTCAAGACCCCCTTGCATACTTTAGCAAAGCTTCAAATTAGAAGTTCTGAGGGCAGTTTTGTTTTTTTTCCCCCCAAGTATTTACTGAGTGCCTATTAATTGCCAAACAGTTCTGAAGCTACTGGAGTTAAATACAGCAGTGATCAAAACACACACCACTACTGCCCTCTTCCAGCTTAGTGTGATGTGGGACACAGACATTAAACAAATATTCACAGAACAGCAGGTTATGACAAATTTTTAAAAGTGATTAAGACAGAGAATGCAAGAGGGTAATTCAACTGGAGCTTCAAGGTGCCCTTAAGGAAGAGCTATGTAAGTTAAGACTTAAAAGTCAGGGAAGTTGAGAGCAGAGAGGATTCCAGGAAGACAAAGACTTCCAGTTACTAAGTAATCAAAAGGAAGCTCATAATTTAGTAGTCTGTGTCGTTTTTGTATCTATTAAGGGCTCAAGTGAACTAAAATGCTTTTCCTATTCAGAATAACATAGTATGGCCCACTTAAGTTTTGTGTGCTAAGAATGCTAATTGATAAAAAGGCTGTTTTTATTTCTGTTGATATGTACATGTAAAAAACCATGTGGCTTTTTCCAAAGCAATACTGACCAGTGTCCTTAAGTCCTGTATCAAATGATACAGGCCTGACTGCTTAAAATCCTAATGTTGCTTTTATATTGCATGAAAATTTCAAACAGCTTTCTGAAACCACCCCTATACAGTAATTCCTACATCTATTCTACACATTTTCAAAGATGTAACTAAAATTGATATACTTACTTTCCTAAGAGTGCAGCATTAGACTAAATTATTGCTGCTATTAATTTTGTTCATCTCAAGCAGAGGTATTTGAGTCTCAACTCCTTCCACTGCCAGCGAATGAAGAGACAA